AATGCTTCATTCCGCTGAGGTATTTTTTCTTGATTTTATCTTGTACAAGTCGCCATCCCAAAGTCCATTTTTGGCTATTGTCAGTAATATTTAGCATGCAGCCGACATTTCTTTCATCTTTGGTTCGATTACGATTTTGTCCGGTGAGAGGCCCAAACCTACACTCACACCATGAGGCCCAAAATCATTGACCATCTTCCCAGGCCACCGGGTCTTGCACGGGTGGCTCAGTGGTAGAGCGTTCGATTTCAGCCCGAATGGTCACTAGTTCAATCCCTGTCTCGCGCTATATATCGTGGGGTGTGATGTCGTGTTTTGACTGACCAATAAATATTCTTTACCTTTTTGTAATGGCTCAAATCTTTTCTCGACGATTATACAAAGTTCACATTTGCAGCATGGTTGCCATGCGGAGTGAATCAAAGCCGCGTTAACAAACGCACAGATATTGGCTTCATATGCTCCACTCAGGAGCGAAAGTGAGAGCCTGATCATTTGTTTTCTCTGTTATTTCAACTATAAGAAATAGCATAACATATCAACCAAAAAGCCTTCAGTATGTTCTTTCCGTCTTTTCAATGGTTGTCAGAATTTGACTATCTTATTGACTAGCTTGAAATGGCTTTGATGTTAATGTATAGCCCCTTCGAACACTTCACTCATCTAGTTTTTTTAGTATCGCCAATATTCAAATACACAAGCATAGCATAGATATGCGTGATCATTACCTCAACAGCAGGAACATATTACATCTAAGACATCTCACTGGCTATAAATTAATGGATTCGATGAAAATGTAGATCTAAGATTGACCAATATTAAGTATGCACTTTATCTAATCCTAAATAGCTACAGTGGTGAAGTAAACTGTGTACGAATTGCTGCAGATTTTAGCGCCTGCTGACATCGATTTACACATCCAGGCTGCTCACTGTTTGCACCAGAACCCGAGTAACTTGTATGTCTTAACAAGCTCGCAATTTTTTGACAGTACATTTAATTTTGTTTTACATTCACCAGTGTTAGCAAGATCATTTGACCGCTTATTCAGTCGTTCCCTGGATAATTCATATCCGAGGAACTCATAACTCATGAAACTAATACAAATCGTTCTACCAAGTATTTTGTATGTAGTAGTGCATTGTTCAACATTTTTTACAAACATGAATTTTGATGATGAAGACGACAATGAGGTACCAAGCAATCCTGTTGGACTAATTTGAAACCAGCCACAAAGTGATGGTAGTCTGGACTGTCCTCATCATTTTAAGAGATTTCTGCAGTTCTTGAATGTGCCTAGGTACCATTCTATCTGTGGGATTCATCACATCCAGCAATGAAGCAGAAATTGCTAGGCTCTTTAGCTTTTCCAGATTGATGACAATCTGCTTTTCCATATCTTTGCTTTCTTGATCCTCATTCTCCTCTTCTTTGCCTCTTGAAGTATGACTATAATCTCGTCGTCATTAAACTCCATATTGGCTGTGTCGTCCTCCATCACTGGACTCAAAAGCTCATTAATAGCCATGGGATGATCTAGAGGAAGCTTATGGATAGCTAAATATTGGGCACTGATATTTGAGGAGGCCCTGCAAAGAGACCAGTGTGGCAAAAACAATTGGGCGCGGTAGCTACAGATATCTCCGCCGAACCTGCTTTGTTCCATTTCATTGCGGGTAGCTGATCGATCTTATAGATGTTTGTTTCACCCCGATCGTCAAGATCAACAGCATTTTAAAGATGAAAACGTCTGTAATGTCGCTTGGACGCGGATATTACCCTAGCATCCATGGGCTGGATCTTAGACGGGCAGTTTAGGGAGAGGAAGACCGCCTCGACATTATTCACATCGTGATTGTCGACTATGTGACAAGTGGCGTTATCTAGTGTAAAAAGGATCCGCCAATATGGCTTGAAAAAACAATGATGGAAATAGTTGAGAACACATCTGGAGTGTTTAGATATTGTACCTTTATGTTGCTGTCAAGCGTTTTTAACCACGCCTGGAAGAAGGTGCGCGTCATCCACGCTATCTTATTGCTGCGATAACAAAAACCCAGTTGCCCCCTGACTTAGATTGGAAAAGCTAGGCTTTTTGGCCTTTCCAATGAACAATAGCTTCAGCTTCTCTGACTCATCTGCGTTGACAACAAAGACAAAATTAATGGAATTCTATGATGCAGAAGGAAGAATGATGTTTTGTCAGCCTTTACATGTAAAAGACCATGGTTATATGCAAACAAACTTTCTTTTTCTTGTCCACGTCCCACAATCTGCTGTTTAGTTGAACCATCGAATGAATAATCCTACGAAGACAGCAATTAAGAAAGTCCAATGTAAAGTACGTTGCTGCACCACTCTCACCATGGATTCTGGGGCAACGCATCTTGTTACTCGCTTGAAAGCGTTGCAGCCACCAATTGGAATATTTGCTTGCATCCTCGCGCAAGCCAAATCGGTCAGCAAAGATTTTTGCTTTGGTTAGATGAGATCTCCGGTGATGGCTACATACTTTGTCTGGCATTTAAGCACCCATGTTGCCAAGGCTCCATCGAGCTGCGGGTGATGTGAAACGCAGGGCCGTTTGGCTTAAAGTTAATCATCTGTAATGGCCTTAAGCTTGCGACTCTTTTTGAGGATGCTGCTTATAGCAGATTGAGTATTTCCAACGCCAATTCTTTGAGTAACCCATGGCGCAAGCGCAATTTGACTCATCCACTGATTTTTGGCATTTTGATTGCAGACCTCGAGCCTCTGCGCATTTGTTAAACGTGTTAGCAGCATATTTATTGTAAATATAATTTTGCAATGCAGTTCACGTCTTTGAAATTTTTTTCGTAAAGAACCTCGGATAAGTAGTAACCTCGACTAAATCATAGGTATTTCTCCACTGCATTTATAACTTATCCAAGGGACGACTGTAGCACCAACCGTTTGGAGCGTCAGCGCTTGTGTATGTTTTATTATGGCATTATCATTGCTCATAAAATGTTTGTTGTTGTGGATAGGGTGTAATGGGGAACGAACCCTTTTATGTGTATATAACGGAATAAAAAAGTACAAAAAATTCCAACATTCGTGTCATTGTACGAATTTCTGCACGTGTGAGGACTCGTGAGTACCGAATATCGTTAATTTGAAGTTGCTGAACTTTCGCAGGGGACAGACTCCCTCCATATTTCTGCAAAGGAGAGGTTTGCTGCTAGTCGATTAGCAACTATCATCCAGCTGGCTGTATTATTTCAAAGTATATATATACAGGACTAAATCTATATATACTAATGCCACAAACACATGTTTTCACTTTCTCTCATTGGAAAATCGTATTTCCGGACGTGCAACTTCACAATTACGCAAAAGGACAATGTGGAATTCGTACAATTGCATAGTACTGTTCGGGTACAATTGGGAAAGATGTATTTGCATACTTGTCCACAGTCAAATCTGGAGGCTTAAATAGACTATAATCATGAAAAGCGAAAGAAATACTTACATATTCTCAGCACGCATATTTCAACGGGAATTATCGTGCACTTTGCACAGAGAGAATTCTGATTTTCAGAGTCCGTATACAGGCGGAGTGAGTTTGAGTTATTACGCTCATTATCCCAGAGTGAGGCAATCTCTCGAAAACTAAAACTGTAAGTTTGCCCGGATTTATAAATTCAAGATAAATTTTATTTAAATGAATATACAAGTTCAAATATTTCATAATGAAACTGGCTTTCTTTCTTGACAAACAGCGAGCGGCCCACATCGATAACGGATTCCTTCTTTTTCGGCTTAACATCAATACTCATATTCCGGTCCATATGGATATTACACATATGTGTGATGTGGATTTTGTACAATTGATTATATGCGTAAGGGTCAAGTACACAAAATTTCAGGACATGCATCGGTAGCATATCCCCACCGAGATGTTGACCACATAGTAATTTATCTTGAGATTGTATTTGCGATAAATTGCGCAAAAGTGACCGCTCCATCATCATAAAGATGCTTCAGCAAAGCGGGCGTCCGCTATGGACGTTGCCTCATGCTTGATTTCAAACGTTCGATGCACATTGCGGACGCCGAAGTGACACCCAATACGTAAAATTTTTGCTTCTGGCAGCCCTGCTTGTCTTCATGATCAGCTG